CATTAAGGAGACCACATTTGATTTCTGTTTTTCAGCTGACATGGCAGACTGGGTTTGCCATGAGGGCCTAAGTGTGAAAAGACAAAATTGGAATTTGTGTCAGATAAACATTTGATTAATGTTCTGTTTGACAGTGTGATCAGTTTCTCTGTAGATTGCTGAAATCTTGGCTGACTCCTTGGACTATAAATGAAATGCCTCTAAGCATTATTTAGTATGATATACATACAGTCCTGTGCACAATGGATAGAAAAATGACTGAGACCTCTTGACACTACGCCATTCAGATAATAGACCCTTTTTTCCTTGCCTATTTTGAGTTCCTTAATATTGGTTTTGGCGTATTTTGGGGGATACTTTATAAACCTAATGATCCTTTAATCATAAAAACTTGTTGTAATGTGGCACAACTGGCTTTATAGCAACCATGTACAATTGCAGTAAACAATGTTTTCAGAGATACTATACAGTGTAGAGCCAGACTGAGTGTTGGCCTAGTCAGGTATATTCCATTGATTCAGCAGAATTGTATTTATGTATGGTTGGGCTGTCTTTTGGTCTGATAGTACCTAAAAATATATGTAACATAAAGAAAAGTTTAAGGATGACTATCATTGAAGAGAAGAGTCTTTTTGGTATGTATGAAGACAAGGTGGGTGAAGTACTACTTTGTATTGAACCATGATTGAGTTAATACATATTTGTTCAGGTCTGAGAAACTTACTCAGGCCAAGTTTATATTAGACAGTGTTGTGGTTTGTGTTGTGAAAAATCAACACCCCTGAGCAATGTAATTATACCAACCTAACCCATTCAGTGTAGACAGCGCCATGTCAATAGGAGAGCTTGTCACATAGACCTAGCTACCACCTATAGAAGGTGGATTAACTGTCAACAGGAGAAGCTCTCTTTTGCTTAAGAAAAACAGCAGGCATGAATGCATCATGGCACTCCAGCAGCTAAATTCAAATTGGAGAGATAGTTAAACAATTATGCTAAACTGATTTTAGGTGACCATTCAATTGACCCCTTAACACCTTGATGAGAGTATTTGGCTTTTAGAAATTATATCCATTAAACAACTAATTGTAATAGAGCATGGAGATGGAGTAAGGTGATAACAGTAGTTTATCTGTGGATTCATATTAGTAGCTAGCAACACAAATCACTGTTTTGGTAATGTAAAAACTATTGGTAGTCCTCTGAAGTGACTTTAGCAGGAATTTTGTTCAGTGCTGGCATTGTAGAGGACTTTCGAAGCTCTGTGTGAGGGGGAGCAGGTGGCTTTGTGAGAGCTGGCACATTCAGGGAGCTGGCTTTAAAGCTGGCTTCCCGCATGTACTGACTCCCACTCCTCCCCCCCCCCCCCCCCCCCCCATGGGATTCAGTACATGCGGTGGAAGGGGTGGACTGAGCACGTCTATACTTAAATTGCTTCAATAGGTACACGCTACCATACCTAATAGTCATGCCTTCCTTTTCTTCAGCTAATTTCTCGTGCGTTATATTTATAACAGGAAACTTAAAGAACAATCTTCTATACACTCTTCTCTGGGCTGGAGATGGAGGAGGGGAGAGAGCATGTGGCTAGGGAACTTAAAGCAGAAAGGAGTAACAAGTGAAATAAAATTGTTCTCGGTAGGTCATCTGTAAAGGAATCTTTGAGAATACATTATAAACTGCGTAACTTAAAGGAAATAGACTCTTTACTAGTCCTTCATGAATGCTTTGAATGTCTTTGGCTAATGCATTTTTATGCAGCAGCTTTTGTTGTAGCATCTAGGTAACAGTGAAAGCGCGATGGTCTCAGCCATTCATAACCATAACCCTAGAATGTTAATCACCATAGAGTCTTAGCATCACTATAAACCTGTGCCCGTGATATGTTTGCCTAACAGTGACATGAGCAAACACGTATTGTGCACTAACATTTTCTAAACTGATGCATTGAGGGACTTTTGAAATCAAGTTCAGTAGAAACATCCGTCAGGTGAGAATTATTTGCTTTTTGGACAGTAAAACTGTTTTCACTGATCTTCCGAGAATCTTGCTTGGTGCATCTTACCCTCTCCTTCACGCATCCAACCCAGAAGCTATCAGTCTATCAAGCTTTTGAGTTCTGGCTGGCTCTTGAGAGACTTACCAGGGTTTACAAGCTAATGGGAGGGGATGTCAAGAAGCCCTGATTCCTCATGCTGTTCTCCTGCAGAGGCAGGAGAATAAGTATTAATCAGCTTTGAACTCCTGTTTCAAACTTGTAACTTTTCTCCCCCAGCTGTTAAAAGTAAGCTCTTCCATTTCCCCAATCCAGAGACATTTGCTGCTGTGAGACTACTGGGTAATTATCACTTCTCCCCAGCATCTTCGCAATAGTGAGGAACAGGAATCGGGAAGGGAACTTAACTATTTCCTTCTCTTAAGCAGTAGTCTAGACTGTCTGTCAATGTAACTTAAGTTGCTTAGGGGTCTGAAAGCCACCCTTTGAGTGACACACAAGACAGCAACCTAAGTGCTAAGTAATTTGATGTTGATAGGAACGTGCTCTTCTGTCAGCAGAAAGCATCGTCACTAGATGGACTACAGTGGCACAGGTGCATCTGTGCAGCTCTGATGTAGCATGTCTTCTGTAGACTAGACATTAGTTGGCATTTTGACATTCCAGGTAAAAGTAACTCCAGTGCATATTTAAACTGCAGCTCATAGCTTTCCCCAGGAGCACCAGGTTTAAATTGACCTGATTCTTGACAGTTTAACTGCTTCCTGTAGGATTCTGAAGAGCTGCGCAATGAAACAGCATTTTTGGTCCTTGACTCGAAGTAGTTATCTTTGCTAGGGGAAAACACCTTTTTTGGGGAAGGGAAAAAACCATACGTGACCTTGTAAGTGGTAAAATCCTACTGTGGGCAAGGCAGTTGGTAATTTTCATGTGTTTTCTAGGAGTTTATAGCAGTCTTGGGGGCAGGGGAGGGAGGAAGAGGGAGAATCTACAGTATACCATGCCCAGCGAACACATGTGAAAACTACAAACTGCCTTATCCATGGTAGGATTTTACTATTTGTGGGGTAATTTGTAGTAAATTCTCTTTTGGTGCTTTCACTGCTGGAGCCAGCCATTTGCAGTTTCTTGCTGAGGAATGGTTGGTTGTGCTGTTGGACTTCCATGATCAATGTTCTATCAATGTTGTCTTATTCTGAAAGTATGTACTTTTAAACAGACTCCATGTTTGTTCCTTATGAACTTATCAATTTACTTTGTTCAGTTTTGTAGTAAAGACATGTTTTCCTAACTGCCTTTCAGAGTAGGTCAGGTTTAACAAACTGGGTTTTTTTCCCTGCTAATCCATCATCAAGTATTACTGTTTTTGCTGACCAGATTTAACAGTGATTAGTCTTATTTCCAATGGCATTGCCCAGTTGTAATTGCAGGATTAGCCTTATATTTGGAGTTGGCTATAATTTTGTTGTTTGAATCAAAATGGTCCCAAATCAGCCTGTCAATGTGAAGACTACATGATTAAAGGGGGGCGGGGGCACGTGTGTGTGTGTGTGTGTGTGTGCGTGTGTGTAGTTGACAAGCTTAACTGATACACCTGGTTGATCTTGTTAACTACACATGCACTCTCTTTCCCCCCCCCACCCTCTGCCTCTGTATCCCAGACAGCAAAGGAAGGGGGGAGGCAGGAGCTTTCCTAGGCCAGCTCTAAGTACCAGATCCTGTAGAGCTGCGCCTGCCCACCAGGCTGCTGCTTCTGATAGAGAGGCAGCAGCCTGGAGGGTGCAGGGCGGGGGACAGGCAGGAGTTGATAGAGGTGGGGAGCTGGCTTTTAAGCCAGGTCTCTGCACCTCCCCTTGCTGCCTCCCACTGAGGCAGCAAGGGTGGGGAGGAGACAATGCTCGAGGGGGCGTGGGCTTAAAAAGCTGGCTCCCCCACTGATCAATGGCTCCACCTGTTCCCCCTCATGTGTGCTGCTGCCTCTAGAAGAGGCTGGGGGGTAGGGGGAGGACAGGGGAGGTTGCTGTGGCGCAGCCTCTGTTCACTGCAGGCCCAGGTTTGCAGCAGACAGAGGTGGCTCCATGGGATGCTGGCACAGTCTCTGTCAGCAGGGAGCTCGAGTCCCCCACGGACAGGGGCTGCTGCCCCATACTGCTGCCTCTGATACAGAGCAACAGTGCAGGATGGTAGGGGCTCCCCAGTAGCAGGGCCAGACTGCACTGGCTGCCAATCCTGACCCTGGGGACTATCAAATAACTGTTAAAATTGGATGAGTTTGCACAACTATTCAGATCCACATTATCTAACATCCCTAGTGTTGACATGAGTAATAAGTAAATTAGATGGACAGTATCTTCAGTGCTGACCAGAGCAGTCTCTGCCCGTGGTGGGCCTTGTCTAGCCTTCCTGCCACAGATTATGCCTTATGTCTCCTAGCCTGCTCCTGGGGAGCCAGCAGCGAAGCCTCCCATCCGGGAGCGGGGCTGGTGGCCCCACTCCTGGGGAGACTTGGCTACAGGCTAAGCAACATGAGGACGAAAACCAAGATTCTACTACAGTATCTCTCTAAAAGACAGTTTTTAAAGCATCAGTGTATAATTAGCCAAGCCTGTTGTATCACTTAAATCATTAATGTATGCACTGAAATATTGATTGAACAGATTTATAATTGGAAATTTGGGTCGTGGTGAGTTTTTAATGTAGATGGGTAAATGTTTATGTAACAAGTTAGTATAGGAGTTATATTTAAAAAAAAAAGTTAGTGTTCAAGATTTATCCTGCTTATTCCTAGTAGGTCAGGGAAGAGATGTAATCAGATAATTCTCTCTCCTTTTACGGCATATTGTAAACCTACCTTTTATTTGAATGAGTACTAAAGGCTGCTGCAATATACAATTTACTTGTGTATTTGAGAGGGAGTGTTTTATTGTCTCTCAAAAAAAATCTTACTGATTTCATTTTTTTGATTGGTTAATTTTAAAAGCTAGCTGTGGTTCTGTTTCTATAGGTGCCGGAGTTCTATGTTCTACTGAGCCTCTTCTTGACTCTATCCTGCCCAAGAGAAGTATTTGAAATATTACAAAGGGAGAAATAAGTGCAACTGATGACTTCTACAGACTCTCCTTAATGAACTTAAAACAGTAGAAAAAGTAGTTTAAGGAATTCAATTATTTCACTGAACAAGCCAATGGGTATACTTTTAATGGTACATGAATATAAATAACAATCAAACTCCTTCCACATTTGTGGCAAGAATTTCCATTCAATAATTTTCTAGCCTAGCATATTTTCATGCGCATGTGAGGAGAACCTTTCAAGTGTCCTTACGCATTAAAATACATGCTAGGGGACAAAACCTAGAAAATATGCCGACTCAACCCCTTCTAGTATATATGGATGGACCGGATGGGATAGCCAGTACTGTTGGTGCGCAGATGGAGAATAATGATGCCTCAATGCCAATAAAAGGGACCAACACAATTTCTTACAAAACTGTGCAAGAAAAGTTTTTGGTGCAAGTAGAGGGTTGTATTCCTTTGGATTGCATGTTTTGTGATCAGACTTTTAAACATCCTGAAGAGCTTGGTAAGCATGTCTTAACTCAACATAGACCCACACTTTGTGAACCAGCAGTTCTGCGTGTTGAAGCAGAGTATCTTAGTCCCCTCGATAAATGTCAAGTGAGAACAGACTTGCCATCACCAGACAACAATGAAAAGGACAATGAAGAATTTAGCTGTGAAGTTTGTGGACAAACATTTGATGAAGCTTTTGATGTTGAGACTCACATGAAAAAGCATAAAGACTCTTTCACATACTGGTGTAATGTATGTGGAAGAAGATTTAAAGAACCTTGGTTCCTCAAAAACCACATGAGAACACATACTGGTAAACCTGGCTCAAGAAATAAGCTTCAACAAGGTTCTGAAAGCCCAGTAACAATAAATGAGGTGGTACAGGAACAAGTAACTGAAAATGTAACATCACCTTACAAAATCTGCATGGTTTGTGGCTTCCTATTTCTCAATAAAGAGAGCCTAATTGAACACAGTAAAGTGCACACCAAAGAGTCCGTGCCCAATGGTGATAGCCAAGAACTCTCCGATAAAGATAATAGAGGAGGAGGAGCTCAAAGAGAGGAGTTTCTGCAGTTTTTGAACTTAAGACCAAATGTGACTGCAGAAAAGAGTAAATTAGAAAAACCTGTGAAATGGATAGCTGAACTGGATCCATTCAATACGTATCAAGCATGGCAGCTTGCTACCAAAGGTAAGGTTGCTGTTGGCCATGGACAGATAAAAGAACCAGGGCAAGAAGGAAGTACAGACAATGATGATTCATCATCTGATAAAGAAGAACTTGGTGAAATTTGGAATAAAGGTAGCCAGGTTAATCAGATTGAAAGTAGTGGGAAGTCAAAGGTAAATAAAAGCAGTAGTTGTCAGGGAAATGGTACTCTGTCCCAAGACAAACTGAAACACCCCAACAGTGAAGTGCCTTCTATGGAGATGGATCCCAAACTGTCACAAAACAAAGAGAAACCAACACATTGCTCCGAGTGTGGCAAAGCCTTTAAAACCTACCACCAGTTAGTTCTCCATTCAAGAGTGCATAAAAGAGACAGAAGAACTGATTCAGAGACTTCAGCCACTTCTAGAACATGCTGTGCAGACTTGATTGTAACCCCACATGAAAATGGAGTACTGGAGCGAACGGAGGGAGGTTCTGAAGATGGATCTGAAGATGGGCTACCAGAGACGCTTCATTTAGGTAAGAAGTATGTCTGAACATTTTCAGCTAAAATAGCACAGACCTTCACTTTTTTCTTGCTTGAAGCAAGGAATTGATTAAATCGTCTTTCTAATGGTCTGTAAATTCTAACCAAATACAAGATCAGGAAATGCAACCCCTTTATAACTTATTTATAAAAATATTTGATGTCCTTCTATTTTGTGCCCTGGGATTTAAAAAATGGCAACAGATTAATTTACCTAACTGAATAGCAAGTGCAGGCAATGGTTGGAGGGGGGAATGATTAAATAGCCAGAAAAAAGTAGACTGCTAAATAGTTGATTGCCATGGAAAAATTATAAAAAATAAGTTGTCACTTAGGCTTAAAATGAAGAATTGCAGTGTAATGTTCATGCGTAAATTAACTCCCCCTGAAAGGAACCTAACTAGGAAGAGAATTTTTTTGCTGTGATTCTCCTTATCCCCATTTCCACGAATCCTTAATTTCACTGAAACTGTTTAGCAGCTGCAGTCCAAATACAGTGACGACTTTTGAAAAATCCTAGAAATGTAGAGATGGAAGTGACCTCAAGAGGTCATCTAGACCATCCCCTGAGATGTATTTGCCTAGATAGTTTTTAAGAATATGCAATGATGGTAGAATCCCAATCTTCCTTACACTTAATCCAGTGTTTTTCTACAGTTAGAATGTCTTGTTCAGTAGCAAGCCTTAACCAGCCTGTTTACAGATGAAGCCAATTACTACTTGTCCTGCCTTAAGTGTACAAGGAGAACAGTTGATCGCTATCCTGGTTATAACAGTTGTTAGCATCCTTGAAAACAATTATCAGCTTCTCAGCTCCCTCAATCGTCTCTTGTCAAGACTAATTCTACCAGCTTCTTTAATCTTTCCTCATAGGTCAGGTTCTCTAAACTTCTCATTTTTGTTGCTGTTAGTTGTACTCTTGTCTCAGATTTCTTCACAATTTTTAATGTGATTCCCAGAAATGAACACAGGATTTCAGCTGAGGCCTCACTTATACCGAGTTGAGAGAGACCATTCTCTCATGTACTTGCATACAACATTCCTGGTAATATATGCTCCCAGAATATTAGTTTTTTTTACAACTACATCACATCTGTAATCCCCAGGTTATCTTCGGTGATATTACAGCTACTAGGAGCTACTTAAACCTTATTTTGTAGTTTTGTGTTTGATTTTTCCCCCCTTCCTCCAAGTGTAGTACTTTGTATTTCTCTTTGCTGAATTTTGTCTTGTTGATTTCAGACCACTTCTCCAATGTGTGAAAACTAATCTGAATTCTAATCATCCCACAAAATGCTTGCAACCTCTCCTGTCCTGGTATCTTTCTCAAATGTTAAGCATTCTCTCTACCCCATTATCCAAGTACCTTAATGAAAATATTGAATAATGCTGGGTTTAAGACCTTGTTGGACCCTACTTAATACATTTCCCTTGTTTGACAGTAAACCATTGACAGCTATTATTTACATGTGCCTTTCACCCCTTTTACAGTAATTTTATCTATACCACATTTACCTTGTTTGCCTCTACAACTTCCCTAATCTTCTAGGCAAGTAACTAGGGATGTTCGATATTGGTTAATTGAATAGTTGAGGAACCACATTAATTTCTATTGGTTACTTGACTATTCTATAGTCCCTGGAGGTGGGGCTGGTAGCCAGTGTGCTCTGGCCCCATTCCTGGGAAGCCCCCTGCCCTACTGCCTCTGAATCAGAGGCATTAGTGCATGATGCTAGGCGGGAGCCGGTTCGTGAGAGGAGCCAGTTTAAAAACCAGCTCCCAGCACTTCTGCCTCGGATACAGAAGCAGCAGCACAGGATGGCAGCAGCCCCTGTTCACAGGGAATCCCACCTCCCATGGAGCAACCTCTTTATGTGGGGGAGGAGGTCCCCAGCTGCCCACAGCAGGCCCCCATATTGCTGTCTTTTGAGGCAGCAGCATGGTAGGGTGGGGGGGCAGGCAGAACTGTGGAGCTGGTGTTAGAAGGAAATGCTGCGGGGGGGGAAAGGTGAGTAGTTGAGAAGATGAATGGATAAGCCTAGGTTTATCAGTTAATCATATACTCAACTTACTTGTTTATATCCCTACTAGTAACCTATTGAAGGATGACACTAGATGGGTTTGGCGTTTTGTTCTTGACGTTCATGTTTTCCATTCTTTAAAGTATTTTCCCTTAGGTACTTACTACAGTAAACTTCAGATAATCCGGCACCTTTAGGACCCAGGGGGTGCCAGATTATCAGATATGACGGACTATCAGAAGGGGGGGCTATGATGGGTCTGGGGTGGGATGGGGGATGCTACCCAGATCCCCTCATAGCCCTCACTTCTGATAGTCTGGCTCTGCCCCAGGAGTCCCCGATTCAGCCGCTGCGG